GTGCATTGTTATTTTTAGATCTAACTTGGTTTCTAGATGAAAAAGCAACAAAAGTAGATTTTTCTTTTTTCAATTTAGCTATCAAGTTTGTGTCTTGTTTAGTTACTAAGATATAGCTTTAAGTAACTTTGTCTGCAAGTTGAATTTTTATAATGATATATGCTTCAGTTGTTGTATATGACATGTGACTGTTTTTGTTATTGTTTTTATTTTGATCACCTGTTTTATTTTTATGTCTGGACATGTTTTCTAAGGCCCAAGCACTTTTTTCATTTTGAATTATGTTTTCTAACCAGTCTTTATCATTTTGAACTACCACTACTAGCACTAGATCCTTATCTTTCACTGGTTCCATATTTTCTTAAGTTGTTGAAATAAATTTGTTGTCTATGCTGTTTATTTTTTTAGCAAGAAAGTTGTTTATATTTTCTTTTTTTTTAAGGTTAAATTTTTGTATTTTGAAAATTTTTTTGTTGACAGTGGCTCCACTCTGAGAAAAAGCTTTCTTTTTCTTAAAACAAGAGCTTTAGCTCTTGTTAGTATCTTATTTGATAAGTTTTAGATTCTTTTTGTTAAGTTTATAATTGTTATTTTTATTTGCCTTTTCTGCTCTGATGTGAAACAGAAAAAAGTTTTTTGTTACTATATATTTTCTATATATTACTATAGTTATTTTTAGTTGTACTTAGAACAACATCTGTAAAAAGGCTTCTAAATATTAAATAACCTTAGAGAGTTTTGTAAATATATATATAAGTTATACAATAATATTTGTTTTATTTTTAGTTAATATATAAGTTATTGCACAATAGAGCGCCAAGTACTAGTAAAAATAGAAAGATACAAAATTAGTTTATCATTTAAACACAAGCATTATTGATAAAATGCACATGGAATTTCTTAATTTCTATTGCATTTTGAACATTAATATGGTTCAAAATGATGTTATAACACATAGTAGCTCTAAAACCAATTAATTATTAGGTTAAAAGCTATAAAAAGAATAGTTTTTTGTTCTTCTAAAAGGACAGTTCTTGAATAGTTTTTGAAAGTCTGCTTTTATATATATAAAAAGCTTCTTATAATAATTATTTAACTAACAACGCTTTAATAAAATAACCTTTAATTATTATTTTTTAAATATTATTTATAAAAACTATTCCATATTTTATTCTTTATTTTATTTTTTATTATATTTTATCTTTATTTCTTTTATTTTTTTTTTTGTTTTTTTTTTGTTTTTTATAATAATATAAAGTGAAAAGCTGGTTTTTTTAATTAGTTATTTGGCAAATACTAGCTTTATATTATTGGAATTTAAAGATCATATATAGCTGTTAATAGTCTAATTATTAAGGCTTTTCTTCTTCTGGTTATACTTTACAAATATTTCTAAGTTTTAAAGTTTGATAATTTTTGTAGAAGGTAAACATTTTGTTATGCCTAATTTACATAGACTAGACAGTAAAATTAGTTTAAAATCTGATCTTATTGTTGTACCTTATAATGCCTAAAAGGCTATTGAATTTAAATTCTACTTTTATATATTTATTTCTTATCTTTATTTATTTTTATTTATTCTATTTTTCTTTAAATTAAAGATCTTTTACTTAGCATTTGTGTATTTTAAATTACTATAACTTGCTAGTTTTTAGTAATTTTATTACAATATTCAGATGTTCAGATTATCATCTTAATCTTAGAACTAATTTATTCTTAAGATAAACACTCAAAGCTTTTTGTATCTATTTTTATAACTAATTTAAGTATTGCTATAATAAAACTAACACTTGTAATCAGGGTTTAACTATTAAACTATTATGCCCTTGTAGAGTTCACTCAGACCAGTATTTATTTTTCCAAGCTAGTCTTTACAGTAACACTGTTAAAGATCTGGTTACTTTACTATTTAGATCTTTTCAAATAAACTTCTTGTTATACAATTTCGATAAATTTATACAGCTACAAAGACTTATTTAGTGTTTGCATTATCTAGTTGTCAGTTTGTATTTCTTTATGTAATACCAACATTGCACAGATGCTCTATGACTTGCTAGTTATTCTGGTGTGACTGCCATTACAGATATTTTAACTCAATCATTAGTAACAATTGCTATAATATGTATATTATAGGTAATTATTCAAATTTTTACTATTATAAGATTTGAACATCCAACCTATCACTTGGAAGATTGATAACCTGATCACTTCACTAGGTCACCACACCTCTTTTGTTTTCATTATGAAGAAAGTTTTCTTTATAAAAATTTAATAAAACATTAGTATATAAAACTAAATATGTAATAAAATAAACCAAAAAGCAAAAGTTCATAATATAGTAAAATAGAAAGTGAGAGTTTATAAAATGGTAAGATGAAAACTAATCTTTTTTTTTTTGATATTAAGGTGACCTCTTTGGTCTTTTGACTTTTATTAATCATTTATTGGTATAGTAGTTCAATGAACTACTACAGAAGAGTGTACAATTGGCTACATATGTAACTTTTCTATATTATTTATTTAAGAAGTCTGCCTGAAGGTTCCTTATCAATTGTTGTACCTAACACTTCTGCTTGGGTATTCTACTTTAAACTCTCTGAATCTGTAATTTGTATTAACTTACTAGGTCATACTCAGATGCCCAGATCATCATTTCAACCTTAGAACTAATTTATTCTCGAAGTAAACCTCTCAAAGCCTTCTGTACCTATTTTTATAGCTGATCTAGATATTGCTATGGCAGAACTAGCACTTGCAGTCAGGGCTGATCATTAAACTGCTATGCTCTTGTAGAGTTCACTTAGACCTCAGCATCTACTTTATAGCATAACTCTGGTACTTTAGTATATCTTTGCCTTTTCTTCTACCTTTTTACCAAACTTCTAATCTAGATAGTCTATATAAAACTATGACCAGTCTATTGGTATATTGGGTCAGCCTGATATCTTTTTTCTTTAGTTTGTTCTGGTAGCCTGGTTGATAGTACTTTTGAGACTCTTAACCTAGAGGTTCTTGCTTGTCCAACTACTATAACTAGGTACTAAACCTTGGTATCTGTTTTTCTGGCCTAGTCTTTACAGTAGAGCTGTCAAAGATCCAGCTATCTCTTTACTCAGGTTTTTTCAAATAAACTTCTTATTACCTAATTTCAATAGATTTACATAGCTACAAGAACTTATCTAGTGTTTGCACTATTCAATTTGTTAGTTTGCATTCCTCTATATAACTCCAACATTGCACAGATGCCCTATGCCCTCCCAGTTATGCTGATGTGACTGTCATTACAGGTATTCTATCCCAATCTTTTTTTTTTTTTTTTATTCTTTGGCAGCCTTGTCATAAACCTTTATTAAGATTCTTGTATCTATGTTACATACATTTTAACTTAAGTTTCTGGTCTGACATCCTTCAGCTGCTTCTTTGAATGCTCAGAGGTGGTCTGCCACACTGGTTAGAGATATACCCAGATCCAGGGACTGTACCAAACTAGCCAATGAGGCCATATGTAAATGGCCTTGATTAGTGTTCCAGCCTGGGTCATGGGTCAGAAATTGCTCTAACTCAGGTCAAATGGGTCAAGATTCGGGGATAGTAAAAAAATATTTTTTGTTGATTTAAACCTTTTTTTTTTTAAAAGAAAAAGACGATACTATATAAATTTGAACTTACAGTATTAGATATTGGATTTTATAATTTTTTGCTTATGCGATGTATCGCTACTTATAAGATCATGCGTAACGTTAAATCAAAATAATAATAAAAATATGTTAGTTTAAGGTTAGGGTTAGTATTGGACTAGAGTTAGATGTAAGTTTAGAAAATAGAGATTTTAACCTAAAATTTTGCAAGGAATTTTTTAATTAAGGAGTAAGAGGTAGTTTCATATGCAAAATTTTGAGTTACAGACAATTATTCAAAAAGACTGATTTGCTTCGATTTCACGTTACACCTGATCTTGCATTCAATCAGGGGTGGCGATACATCACTATTGTGATAAATTGCAATATCCTTAGATATTACTGTATTACATAAAAAAAAATTTATTTGATCACTAATTTTTATCAAATTATTACATTTTGATATTGAAAGTTCAAGATTTACAACATCACCACTATGTAAAATCTCATTGAGTAAGTTTTTTTGCGAATGAATTATTTGATCAGAAACCTGTTTTTGAGCTTTTAATAAATGAAGTTTTTTACATTTTAATAACTAACCTTTTATCATCTAAGTCAACAGTCTTCTTCATACGTAATAATTACATTTTTGGTGAGTTTATGTTTATCAAGTTCAGCAACTTTTGTAAAGATTAAATGGATTTCTTTTAACAGGGCCTTCCACGTAAAATTTTTTTTTTTATTTGTTAGTAACCATAACATTATACATAATTACATCATAATGTATTAAATCATGTGTTATGCATTTTTTTTATTCAACAAATACAACCCATTTTTATTCTCACAGTTATTATTTCTTTACTCATTTAATAATAAGTATTTAATTCTTTATAGTGTTCATAAAGATTCTAATGGCTTATTAAAATCTTTCAGGTGATTCCTTATATTTGCCCACTTCACTATACTTCAATTTTTAGATTTTAACAATATATATATCTTTTTTCTTTTTTTCTAAAATTTTAAATGTTTAATAGTTCAATTTTAATTGACATTTGCTTAGTACTTGACCTAAATTCATAACTATTCGCCTAATTCAATAAAAATATAATAAGTTACTAAATTCATTAATTTTAACTATTTAGATACAATATGAAATTTTTTATTACCTTAGCCAAAAACATGTGACATAGGCCAAAGCTTGAGAGCCGCTTTAAGAAGCAAAACTGATTCAACGAATTGTGAATTAAGATGTATTCTTTTTTCAGTGATGGTAAGACCTGCTGACGAAAAAAAACATTCGGATGGTACCGACGTAGCCAGAATAGAAAGGTACTTGTGTGCAAGTTTTGCAAGTATAGGATAGTCGGCTTTTCTTGAAGCCCACTACTGAAGTATGTCTGTTTTACTTTGAACCCTTGGTAATAATAAATAGGAGTTAAATTCATGGTTAGCAATGTTATTGTCATTTTGGCTTGAATATTCTTGAGCCACAGAACTAGAAAAAATATCTTCACTATTTATGTTACTAGGTGCTGCATCTGATAAATTATTTGATTCATAATAATTAGTAGCTAATTCAAGATACTCTATACGTGCTTCTGAAATAGTACTATGTCTTTCATCTTCTGAAAATATTTGCATGTTTTTTGTTCGCAGATCAAAAAATACTGCAAGTCGAATTGGTTTCGTTGGTTCTGAAAATCGTTCCTGAATAAACTCAATAAGAAGATTTTTGAATTTTCAAAATCACTATCATTTGTTATTGCACAATTAAGTTTTATTTTAATGAAATTAATTGCAAACCACGCTTGAGAAAGTGTTGGATACTGTGAATCTGATAATTTTTTTGAAATAATTTTGTAAAGGTACAATAACTTTACTAACTCGGTTATTTTTTCCCATTGACACGATGATAATTCTTTTTCTTCATAACTTCTTAATGAAATATTATCATTTATTTCAACTAAAAACGATTTATACTTATACATTGCTGGCTTAAGAATTGTTAATTGTTTTAAAAGATAAAATATCGAATTCCATCTCATAGAAACATCGCAAACTACAAAAAGAAAGTTATTCCAGTCTTCCATCTCCATTTGAGCTTCCAAAAAAAATTGTTTTTGCTTTGGGCTTCTACTAAAGTGAGATACAACGTTTTTATATTTTTTTATTAAGTTAGTAATTTCAGGGCAACCTTTTAATGCATCATTAATTGCAAGCTGCAAAGTATGGCCAAAACAATAAACTTTAAAAATTCCATATTTTCGCTCTAATTTTTTCTAGACAAGATTTAATGTTTGTCACATTATCGATTGTACCCCTAGTAGTTATACATTTAAGCTGGAAACTATCTAAAATTTCAGTGATTTTATTTAAAAGACACTCAGAAGTATGCAGATATGGGAGATATGAAATGTTACCAATCATTTCTTTTATTTAAAAACTATCATTAATCCAGTAAAGAGTAAGTCCAATATACAGATCACCATTATTTGACATCCACATATCAGTAGTAAATGAAATATAACTAACTTCAGAACTATCTTGTGCATATTCATGAAGGTTTTGCAAAACCTTATTCTCAGAATTAATAAGAATCTCTTTTAAACGATCATTACCAAGTATATTAACTTGAACATCTAGTCCTTCAATTATTCTTTTAAATGATCGTAATTGTATAATCGAAAATGGCTAAAGTTCTTCAATGATGAAAGCAATTATGTTATTATCAAGATTTTTTTGTTTAGGGTTATTAAGCACATATTTTTTTATTTTATTGAATGTTTGTATTATCATTGGTTGTGAGGATTCTGGTATTATAGAAAATTCACAAACATTATCCTTTACTACAACTTTTACCTGATCACCTTCTATCATGGCTTGTGAAATATGGTGTTTATTTCTTAAATGACACCATAAATTCGAAGTAGAACCATCCTTTAGATATTTTATTTTTGAAGTGCAAGTTTTATGATGACAGATCTGATACTCAAGATTATTAATTAATTTCATTTCATAAAACTCTTTTACAGAACTACCACCCAGTCTTTTGACCTTTTTTCGTTTGACTAGAAATTTGCTGCTGGTTTGTGATATGAAAGACTGAAGTGAATTTTCATATCTATTCATACCATCAGATTTTGACTCATCTAGATTACCAGCTTCAGGCTCTAACATCGTATCATCTTCAGGCTCTAACATCGTATCATCTTTAGGCTCTAACATCGTATCATAATCAGGCTTGAACACCATATTATCATCAGGCTTGAACACCATATTGTCTTCAGGCTCTAACATCGTATTATTTAAAGATTTATCGCTCATTTCTCTGCTTGGCTAATTTAAATCCAGAGAACCGGTGACCAATTCTGTAACTCTCTCTGTAGATCACTTGTACCAAAATTTTACTAAAAAATATTTAATTATTTCTCAATATTTTATTAAGTAAACCTTACTTGTTCCCTTAAGTAAAGTTGTTGAGCACACTTTTCTC